CCCCTCCATGGGGTGGCATCGCAGGGGAGACCCTCAGGTGCCAGGACACTCCTTCTGTCCTTGTCCTGGTCCTTCCCCCAGACTCCCAGGGCACTGTCCCTGTACCAGGGAGGGACAAGGGGCCACACACGGTGGGGATGGAGAAGGGACCCCGTCAGGGAACGCCGAGCCACCCGCAGCTGTGGACCTGCTCCTCCAGTGCTCAACTTCTGGGAGGGAGGAGAGTGGGGTGGGAGGGAAATCTGGACTTTTGGAGCCAGCAACGCAGCAGGGAGGTGGGTGGGAGCTGGAGGAAGTTGGGATGGAGATGTAGGGATTGGGAAGCAGATTCTGCAGCCCACAGGATTGTCAGAAACACTGCCCAGGTCACCCAGCTCAGAGAGACCCTGCTCTGCCACGGGGAGCCGGGGGTTAGGGGAGGACATGGGGTCTTGGAGCTGAGCACCTGCAGGGAAAGCCTGCCAAACCCCCAGCAGGGGGGAGAGACAGATGGGAAAGGGACCCCAAGGAAGCAAACTCCCCCTCTGCTAGGCAAAGTGCCCTCCCTGGAATGGGGGTCTGCAGTGGGGTTGGTGGGGGGTGGGTCAAGAGGCTCTGGAGGGGCTCAGAAGGGCTCACCAGTGCAACTGCCCCAGGAGCAGGGAGCAAACAGCCATGAAAAGTGCAGACAAAGCCGGAGCCAGGACATGGGCTGGGACAGGCAGCCCTTGGCCGGGACAGGCAGCGCTTGGCCAGGAGTGGAGTGTTTCCTGGCTCCCCTCGAAGTGGAGTGCTGAGCTCATGGCTGCTCCACAGGGAGGCTGGGCTCTTGCTCAACTCCCCCTCAGCGGGACCCAGGGAGCAGCTGCAGCCAAGAGCCAGATCCAGGTGAAGCTGTGCACCAAGGGCTGAGCACCTCCTTCACACCCAGCACCAAGTCCCACTCCTCTCAGAGACAGAGGCTTGGCCCATTGGAGATTACCCACTCCTGGCCCCACACACAGATCAGTGGGACCAGCTTGTGCATCCCTCTGCCCCCTGTGTCCCTGCAAGGCTAGGCACAGCCTCAGGGTAGGCAAGGACTCTCCCTTGCAGCAGGGCAGATCTCTAACCCCTGGGGCTGTGCTGGTGGCCTGTCCCTCTCCTCTCCCACAGCCAGGGCTGTAGGCTGCTTGCACAAAGCCACTCACTTGCAGCCCCTTATCTTCCCCAGGCTTTGCACTCCCACCCCACACTCACTGCAAGCTGGGGGGGGACCCCCCACCCCTCAATTCTATGAGACCTACCTTAGAGCATCCCCAGCAACCTGTATCCCAGCTCCATCCTGCACCCTGACAGGGAGCACCTCTCACCACCACTGCTGGCACAAAGAAAACTCAACAACCTCTCCTCATCAACAAATTCATCCCAGCCAGCCTTTCCCACACTCATCGGTGCTCTCAGGAGCACCTGTACTAGCTGGTCATTAACCCATTCCTTGCTGGGGGTTAAGGCACAGCCTGTGGGTTACCACCACAGTTTAGAGCTTGTGCCTGTCCTTGCCTAGGGGAGAAATCCCCAGGAACCCCCACCATGTGCTGGCACGAGGCACCTCCGGACAAAACCCCCTGTGCAAACACAGCCTCCTTGTTTGGACCATTAGGGCATCTCCTCTGGCCTCCCGAAAATAATTAGTCAGCCTCGTTAAGAGAGCAAACAAAACGGAGATGGGCTGGCAGGGAGGCCTCGCAGGGCTCGTTTCCAGGGGACTTGGCAGCTCAGAATGGCAAACTCGATGGTGCAGCACGTGAAAAGCCTAACCCGGGCTGAGAGCTCCCTGCTCCCCCTGCCAGCCGCGGGGGATGCCCGGGGGCACCTCCGGCGGCACAATTAGGAGGTACTTGTATCAAACTTCCTCTGCAGCCTTTGTGTGCCAAAAGCGACCCCAGACAGCTCCCAGCCCGCTGCACCGACGGGGGGGTCAGAGGGGATGGGTACAGTATCGGTAGGCACACAGCTGAGAGTGTATTCGCTGCAAAAGAGAAGAAGGGATGTGGGAACTGCAGGGAGGGGGGACAAGACTTGGCAGAGGGAAAGTTGTGTCTGGGGACAGGGAGGTGGAAGGAGCAGTGTTATGGGGTTGAAGGGTTCCTGATGTGCTTGGAGCTGAGACCTGACAGCTCATCACAGGTGTGGGCACAGTGCCTGCCCACACAGCCCAGAGCATCCCTATTTCATAGAGTCATAGAATCATAGAATTTATAGGATTGGAATGGACCTTAGAGATCATTCAGTCCCACCCCCCTGCCCTGGGCAGGGACACCTCCCACCAGAGCAGGTTGCTC